TCTCTCTCTCTCTCTCTCTCTCTCTCTCTCTCTCTCTCTCTCTCTCTCTCTCTACCCTTAACCCCAAATTGAAACTCGATATCTGATGATTCTTTTGTCACAAATCATATCTCATCCACAACAATTTGATATATTGGCATCCCATTTTGTTGGGAGAAATTCCCCGGAATCCCGAAAAAGAACATACATAAGAAGAGCAATTTGTCTCAGCATCTCCTCCCCCTGCCACCATCCAGTCATGCTACCCATCAATAGTCGCCGACAACGAAGAAGAAAAGCAGCAGTCGGAATTTCAGAAAAAAAACCCATTTTTTCTGTTCGTGGACTTGAAGCAGATGAGGTTTATAAAAATCCGAACTTGGCATGAGATGTTTATCGATTTCTTTTTCACATGGGGTAAAATCGGATAAACCTTGAAGATGATCTGGAAACAGAGGCCCCACAACAAAAACCCTCATGTCATACAACTAAGGGATCGCTTGATACCATCGATTTGCCCCTATTATACACTTGATCTACAATTTCTTTGTGTTTCTTTTTTCTACGGTTTAAGGGCTTTAGATCGGAGGAATGGTGGATTTTTTGATCTAGTTGCAGGTTTGAGGTGGCACTCTCCAATGGTGATGGTGGTTTGAGTTGCAGGTTTCAGAATAGAGGAATGAGACGTGGAGTTGCAAATCTAGAAGTGGTTTGTAGAAGTTATTGCTCTTCCTCTTGCAATTGAGATTACATATGTAGATCTGGGAAGGGACAATTTCACTCAAGGTCAATTGATCCTTATTCTTAATGATGCTGGTGGTGTTGGATCCTTCGTAATTTTGGGGTGTTTTTTTCACTTGATGTCTTTACTCTTATTTGATTAATTTTGGATTTAATCCACTGGAAAATTAGGGAAAAAGTATATGGTCTTTTTGCACTTGATAATTCTGTAAATGAAAATCTGGTGTTGCTGATTAGAAGACATCATGGGGATAAAGATTTTTGAAGATGTCCTTGAGGAGGAGGAGGAGGAGGAGGAGGAGGAGGAGGAGGAGGAAAGAGAGAAAGAGAGAGAGAAATGTGGGTCCAATTTAATTATTTATTTTCTTTTTCATTTAAATTAAATAGAAAAAACATAAAAAAATATATCATAAGGGCATTACAATCATTTCAGTTTACCGAGGGACTAAAAGCGCAACGAAACTACCTCAAAAGGACCACCAATCCAAAAAAATCGTGGTTTGGATTAAAACCCCAAAAAAATGCATACCACAGGGACGATTTTTGCAATTTTGTCTAATTTATATCTAAATAATAATTTATTCTAGCTTAAAAGAGATAACGTTCTTATAATATGAACCAAAAGGGAGTAGAAGGGTTGTTAGGCACACAACCCCTCTAAATGGCTTGTATTGTATGGTAAAATGTCTTAGGTAAATAAAGGGCTCCATTTTGGTAGGTATTTTAAGAAAGGTTGTACTCATAAGGTCGTGTATGATGAAATATTGAATGATTGTATCCAAAGTTTCGTGATCCACATGAAAGATATAAGGTAATTTTGAAAAAAAAAAAGTTGATAACTAAAAGCATATAGCTTTTATTTAGTTTTCATTTCCGTAGAATTACTTGTAATTTTATAAAAGAGTAAATTACATGATCCGTTCATCTTGATGTGTCAAAATATATGTTCAGTCGTTATTTTTAAAATTTTATTCGAATCGTCTCTCATCTCGTTAAAAGTTGTACGTTTTATCCATTGCTAGTTTAAATTTGCACGTTTTATTCCCTTCCATGTGACACATAAAAAGACTATAATGTCATTTTTCTTTTATTTTTTACACTTTTGATATTTTTAATTATTTTAATTACTTTTCTAGCTTGTTGAATAAGAGACCTGACCACCACCACCACCACCAGAAAATGGAGCACCACCGTCACCCCTCACTTCACCCCCATCCACTACCCCCTTCAAAGTTCACATGTTTCACTGAAAATAACCACAAACCACCACCTCGTTCACTAAACCAGCAAACATATACTCAACCCACCATCGAACTAGCCACATTTACTATTAACACCACCACCAGCCTCCATCGGAAAACCCACGTGTAAATCTCAAAAAAAAATAATCAGGGCAAATCAGGAAGGAAGAATCATGGCATGGTGGCGACGGATACCAATGACTTTGTTTCTACTCCATCGGATCTCAACAAATATCCCCACATTTACTGTTAATACCACCAGCAGGCACCCTCTTCGATCTCCGGTGTGCATTCCATCGTCTTAGATCGGCGCCAGCTAGGGTTTCGAACCTTCACCTTCATCGTCTCATATCTAAGATCATTGCCAAGGGTTTAAGTACATGTTACTCTCGTTCATAGGCTATGATACAATGGGAAAACAAACACCATCATCATCACTGCCACGGTTGTCCTTATTCCACAACCAAAGAATCGACGGAGAAAGAGAGATGGTAGTGATAGAGGAGTAATAGGTATCATTGTTGCCTCTTTTAATCCACCAGCCGACGGATAAACAAGAAATGGTAGTGGTGAGCTACGATGGTGATGGCGAGTCGCAGTGGCGATGGCGGTGTTAGTGTTGACCGACTGTGATGTTATTTACAGATGGTGGATGTTGTATCGATGGAGACAAAGAAGAGTGAGAAAGATAGGAGACTATGAAACGTCCCAAAAATAAGACCCAAAAATTTCTTTTTTAAATTAATAAAACCAGTATCCAAAGAACATCATCATAAAAATCCCAATGAAACAAATGTATCAATCAATGTATCACATCAGAGTAAATCAAGAAAATGTGGAATGAGGTGGTGCGTGCTATGCAATCATCCCGAGCTCTTCTCTTTGGAACTGGAAGTACTTGAAACATAAACTCAAAACTGTAAGCACAAAGCTTAGTGAGTTCCCCAAAATACCACATACCATACATATAAACACATAATGGGCCCAGCCCGTCACCAGGCCCCGCCCGACATCGGGCCCCGCTCGGTATACAGATCGGGCCCCACCCAGCATACATATAAACATATATCATACAAACACATACACATGCAATAATCACAAAGATACATAACATACAAAATGGTCATCGGGCCCCGCCCGATAAGCATACAAGTATATAACACATGCAAGAGTCATGCAGACATCTAGCACACTAACATAACATAATCATGCGTTGGCATTGGTGGCTTCAACCCGCTAAGTACGGTGAGGAAACTCACCTCGAACTGCTGAATCACATGAAATAATCTTTGGTTGCTGGTCCGACAAATCCCCAAGCTATCAATACCAAATAACATCCAATTAATAATTAAATTCCAATCCATAACCATCAGTTCATAATTAGGGTAAAAAGACCATCTTACCCCTTACCTAATTTGGCCCACGACTAAGGCGCAAACCTACAATCCAAAAGGCCCATTTACCAAAATAATCATACATGGCCCAATTTTCCAAATTAGGCCCAAATCCCTTCCATGGGCCTTAATCCAAGGTCCAATAATATTCCCAGCCCAAAACACCTGAATTCAGATGGTCCAACCAAGCCCTAAACATTTAAGCCTAACATATGGCCCAAACCGAAGACCCAATAATCCAAGGCCCACTCTGTTGAGTACGCGGGGCGTACTCAGCTCGTACGTGCAGCGTACTTGCCTTAGGGCTTGTACGCTAAGCGTACTCTCTCATTCATCCATCTTCCATTTCCAACACTTAATTGATTAAGACATCACTCCACAACTTAGATATGACTTCCTTGGGATAGTTTATCACGTAAAGTTGCTAACTTTATGTGCATGCATGACTTAATGAAGCTCTTAAAACTCAAAAGGACTTAATAGAGGACTTAATGTATGCATGAGGCCATAAACACCATAAAGTTTCTAACTTTATGCCTAAGAAACTTATAATATGTTGGATTAGTGTCTAAGTCCATAACTATAATTGGTATGTACTTGACCCGATTGGCATGGTCCATTTGGTTTGCATGGCATCGGAACAATTTGGATAGACTTTTGTGAGAAAAGGATATTTATGACTTGTTAATATATTATAAGTTCTAATATATTAATATGAAATCATATTATTTAATTAGTATTGATCAAGGATTAATTTGGAATTAATTTTATGATCAAAAGGAGACTAATGAAATATATGGGGATTGATTGTGTAAATCATTCATTCTTATATATGTGGGCTTCTGATCCATAGTTCTTCATGTTGGGCTAAACCCATGGAGTAACCCATGGATACTCCATGCAGGTTTTAACCCATGGAGCATGAAAAATATGGAAAGACATGAGTTACATGGTGTAACCCTAATAGCCACAATATATAAGGACCACATGGCTCAAGAAATTGGCACTAGTGTGTGTACACATGAGGGCTAGCCGATTTGAGC